TGTGGGTGCCGCACGTTGGGCCGGGGGCCCAGCGTGCGGCGGGGTGGGGAAAACATGCACGTTGGTTGTGCTACCCATTACGCATCAAAGGTGAAATGGATGAGCCGACCCGAATGATTTATTCGGGTCTTCAAGTTGAAAATTGCTAAGGAAGCGTCCTGAATGGCTTGTTGGGTTTTGGGTCTGTTCAGAGGGAGCAGGTCAAAGAGGGTTTTGGTGACGAAAGCGATGAGGGCTTTCGCATGAACTTGGGACAGGTTGATTTCTTCTGGGGCTTCGTCGGTTACGTCGACGGGGTCGGCGAATTCCGTCGGTGGATCGATGATGATCGTCGGGAGGGTTTGTGTCTCGTCTGTGACGGTTAATTTGTGGAATTCGGGGCATTTTCTTGACCATGCGGGATGGGGGCCTTTGCAGAAGGGGCATTCTGGGTCTTCCTTGGGGCATTTGTTGGGCGCATGGGTTCCAGTGCAGCGGGGGCAAATGGGTTTCTGGGAACACTCGGAAGCTTGGTGTCCCAGCGTGAAGCATTTGGCGCATTGGACGGGGGTTGGTGGTGGTGCATTGGAAGGTTCGCACCTGTGGAGACGGCCGAAGAGAACAATGCCGTCGGTCAGGAGTGAGTCGATGGTTATTACATCGTCGGAGATTAGTCTGATGAGGGGGGTGGGTTTATTGGTTTTTCTGGAAATGATTCGCCACATTTTGTGGACTTTGAGGTGGGGGGCGCTTATTAGAATGTCGCGCTCTTCAATGTCATGGTCTACGTCTTTAATGACGATTGAAAATAGGGGAGACTTTTTTGCTGGGTTTTGGATTTTCTTGGGGCGATTGATGGGTTTGATTGAAATGCGAGCGTCCGAAGTGGCCACTCGGAGGCGGTTTTCGAAAGATGCTGGGATTTCGTTTCGGGTTATCAGAAGGCAGGATTTGTTATAATTAACTTTGAGGGTGTCAATGTCATTTAGGAGTAGGTGGGTGGTTAGGACGTCAAAGAATTTTTTTTGTGTGGCGAAGGCTTGCGGAATGTTTTGTACTGTGTACTTGAAGAGTTCGGGGTTGGATGACGTGGAGCGGAGGGTTGCTGATGTGTCGGCCGAGGAACGGCCCGAAGTAGATGGGGTAGACGTTGCGGATGATGTTGGTGACGACGATGCGGAGTGGGTCGGGGATTTTGTTGGTTTGTTACCATTTGAGAGGGCAAGCAAATAATTGGGGTTTGACCCACCTGGTTTTGTTGGTGTCGGAGGCATCGTGGGGGCTGCTGCGGCTGCTGTAGCTGCCGTGGAGGCGGCTGCCATGGCTATGGCTGCGGCGGTGGCTGCTGCGTCTTCGGCGGTGGCTGCCGGGGATGCTGGTCCTGAGGCTTGGGTTGGGGCGCGGCGTGACGTAGCGGATGGCTTCGTCGGCGGGGCCCTGGTCACAGTGGAATTGCTTCTAAGCTTACGAGGTCCGGAAGACATCCTTCCTGGACGATGCGTAGATCGAAACTGTGGCGAAAACGACGTCTAAGTGTCCCCGACGTAAACCAAGCGGACTGTAAACTAAACGCGCGACTTTGACGGAATTCGCTCGAAATCGGCGGCCTCGCGCTCGACTTTCGGGTGATGACATCGTTCTCTTTTCGCCGTCACCACCGCCTCCTTGTCGTTAGACGGACGAAACACGGCCTCAGACCTTCCTCGACGTTTATTCGAGTATTTTTCGACGAAGCGGGAATCGGCGAATCGGCAGGGCGTCCGTCCGGACGCTCGCTCGAAGAAGACCTTGTCAAAAGTCGAACAACGTACCGAAGGTGGACGTCGACGCTCCGACGTCCGTCGTCGCCGCCACCGTGACGACGCTTCGACGAGGTGAGCCTCCGTCCATGCTTTCCGGTTTTTTACACCCTCGGGGACGATCGGAAGACGTTTTCTCGTCAAAAAACGCCTCCGAAAGAGGCAAGGTACGGTCAAAATCGTCACCGCTTCGAAGCGACTCTTCCGATTTCGACGATCTCCTGGGGCACGGGGGGCTCCTTCGACGTAGATCGTCGAACGAAAACGACGGAACGGACTTTCGGCCGTCCTCCGGTGGCGGTCTCGTCTCGGTACGAGGATGGGAACATTAAAAATTTCCATGTCGAAGGCGCGACGAGATGATTCGGTCTCGTCGTTTCCTCGTACCTCGAAACGACGAGGAAATTCGGATTTTTTTTATTTTTTTCCGTACGAGATCGATCGACGATCGAAATTGCACGTCTGACGAAAATTTCCTTGCGGATTTTTCCAAAAGTTTCTTCGTTTCGAGTGTCGTTTTCGAGCCGGGATCGAGCGCGGAAACCCGCAGCACCGCACCGACGGCGAACGAAAATTCTTTCTTCGATTCACGTGCGATACGTTTTCTGTCTTTCCTGTGGCCGCTTTTCATAGTTTTATTTTCTTTTTTTTTTTTTCCTTCTTCTTTCGAAGATCTGAAAGACTACATTCTATGGAGTTTATTTAATCTATTATTGTTTACAGACGAACGAACTTCGAACTATTTTAACATCTTTCAACTATTATTTTTTAATTCAATTCACTTACACTTTCATTATTATATTATCAAGGCAAGTGTTTTTCAAAGCATTCATGAACCATCGAGATACGGCGAATTTATGACGGCGGTTGTTTGTAAAATATTGCAAATGCTGCTTTTTGGGTTATATTTATATATATGTTGTCCAGGACTTGTTTTTTACCTATATTTACGATTACATTCACACACAGGTGGCCAGGTGGCGGTAGGGTAATTAATCCGGCGGACGAAGATGGTTTATGGTTTGTTTTTACCTACGTCCGCCGTGATTGTGCCTTATGTGCCTGGTTCGTCTCTTTGTCGGTCTTGTCGTCCTTTCCCTATCCTGTCGGTGGCATTCGTCTGTTAGTTGTACGTGCGTGATGTGCTTGTTTGTTTGTTTGTTTTGTATTTTGTGTTGCAGACCGCTGCGCTGTGCTGCGCTCCTCGATCTTTGATGTTCGTTCGTCGGATCTTGGCACTTTTGCTTCGACGTTTCGACTTCTCGGATCCATTTCTACTCATTTTTTACCCTTATCATCAGGCAACGGCCATACCACGTTGATAGCACCGGTTCTCGTCCGATCACCGAAGTTAAGCAACGTCGGGCGCGGTCAGTACTTGGATGGGTGACCGCTTGGGAACACCGCGTGCCGTTGTCTTCTTCTTTTTGTTAAACTTTAGTTTTTAGTAAAAAAACGATGTGTTATTATAGTAAATCGTAAGTTGTTAAGCTAGTTTTTAATTTAGAATTTAAGTTAGTCGCTAAGATTTTCCACTCGCGTCCTTCGACCCCAAATTTTCAAACACTCCGCTCCCTTCTCCCGACCGATTTTTTGTTTTTGTTTTGCCCTATCGCGAACACCCCCCTTATTCTTTTTTTTTTTTTTTTTTTTTTTTTTTTAAGTCCAAAAAAAAATTTACAAGTCCAGATCAGATCGAGGTGTCGCGTAACGACACTCTACTAGGTTTATAAAATAATGGATATTTATGTCTGCGACGATAAAATAAAATTTAAAGCACGACGAGAACTTATAAACGAACGCCGTACATGGACAACGAGATCAGAATCATTCAGGAAGACTCGAAAAGAAACGAATCGATGATTAAATATCTTTTAATTTGAAATTTATTCACGCTCGATCGTGAAAATGCAAAAAAACGGCCGTTTTGTTAGGAACATGCGTTATTTATCGTACGCGAGTTCCTCGAACAGACGGCCAGTATAGATTTGCATCAGTTTCGTAATTCTAGTATTAAAATAATGATAAAAAACGCGACCGTTTTCTTCTCGATCTTATGATTTCCTGATAAAATCGATCGTAGAGAGCACAGCGCTTCGTTATGAAGAAATAAATAATATAAATTCCTTCTTGCGGCGGGGGGAAAAAAAGAAAGAAAAAAAAAACAAGTACGTTCCCGTGACCTGACTTATTTACATATCGTATAAAAATCGATCGATAAAAATATATCGCTGTTTTTTAACATAGTTTCATTTCGAAAACCTCTAACCGAAATCGATCGTACGTACGTACGACGCGGACGGAATTTAAACATCGCACACCCCGAAACGAAAAGTATCATTTTATTCGTTCATTTAATAATCGAATAATAATAAAGGGGAAAGAAACATTCTCGAGGTTCGTTAATCTCTTATTTGTAAGGAATGCGATTTGTGGTTCTGAAAAGAACCGATTTGTTTGTTGTTGTTGTTGTTTTTTTTTTTTTTCCGGAAAGATGGACGACGGACGACGACAGAAATGATAACAAAATCATTCTACTTGGAGCTGGTGTACTTGGTGACGGCTTTGGTACCTTCGGAGACGGCGTGCTTGGCCAATTCACCGGGCAAGAGGAGACGTACGGCGGTCTGAATCTCCCTGCTGGTGATGGTCGAACGTTTGTTGTAGTGGGCGAGGCGGGAAGCTTCGGCGGCGATACGTTCGAAGATGTCGTTCACGAAACTGTTCATGATGGACATCGCCTTGCTCGAGATACCGGTGTCGGGATGTACTTGTTTCAACACCTTGTAGATGTAGATAGCGTAGCTCTCCTTCCTCCTGCGCTTCTTCTTCTTGTCGCTCTTCGAAATGTTCTTTTGGGCCTTTCCGGCCTTCTTGGCGGCTTTACCGCTAGTCTTGGGTGGCATCTTCGAATATTCGATAAGAGTTTAACAGAACAGAACAGAACGCAACGCTACGCTCGGTTCTCGACGAACGAATAAAAATATCACCCCGCGTGCGACTACTTTTATAACGGACCGTCTACCGACTCAGGCCACGCCCATTCGTCCTAGCCTTCCTATGCGCCGAACTGAACCGACCGCACGGAGGGTATAAAGCCTAAGCCGCGACCGCCGGTCCGATACATAACCGAATAACGCAGCAGTCGATTACGTGTGTCGTCGCCGCTCGTCGCTCGCTCTTCTTGTTTATATTTCGTTTTTCGCAAGAAAATTAAAGAAAATGTCAGGACGTGGAAAGGGAGGAAAAGTCAAGGGAAAGGCGAAGTCCCGTTCGAGCCGTGCCGGTCTTCAGTTCCCCGTCGGCAGGATCCATCGTCTCCTCCGTAAAGGAAACTACGCCGAACGCGTCGGTGCCGGAGCTCCCGTCTACCTCGCCGCCGTCATGGAATATCTGGCCGCCGAAGTTCTCGAGTTGGCAGGAAACGCCGCCAGAGACAACAAGAAGACCAGGATCATTCCCAGACATTTGCAGTTGGCGATCAGGAACGACGAAGAGTTGAACAAGCTCCTTTCCGGAGTGACGATCGCCCAAGGCGGCGTTCTGCCCAACATCCAGGCGGTCCTCTTGCCCAAGAAGACCGAAAAGAAGCCTTAAACTCTTTTCATTTTTTTTAAAGAAACGGACCGGACGGACGACCGCTTTACCGAGAAAAAAAAAGAAAAACAACAACCCACATCATCGGCCCTTCTCAGGGCCACTAATTTTTTTCAAACGATTAAATGCTCGCAAACTTATCTTAATGGAAAACAAACAAAAAAAAATAATAGAAAGAAAGAAAAGTACTTTATATGACACGATATCGTTTTTCGATTCGAAAACGTTAATTTTTTTCTTATTGTTCGTTCATTTTTAAGCTTTCTCTCTGTCACTTCTCGTGAATTTTACTGCAAACGTTTAAAAATACGTGATTTTAATTTAATTTTTTTCCTTTTTCCATTTTATATCGTCATTATTATTTCTTTAAAAAAAACCAACACAACCAACCATTCATTCATTCATTCATTCATTCATTCATTATTTATTCTCGACATATAGTAAGCGAAATTTTTTATTCGTTAGAAAAATTTTGTGGTTCTGAAAAGAACCGTTTTTTTTTTTTCTCCGATCTCGTTTGTTGTCGTGGCGTATATACGGAAAAGTCAAAGAATCAAAATCAGCGACGATTAAATTTCTTGCTATTGCAAAAAATTAACCGCCGAAACCGTAGAGGGTGCGTCCTTGACGTTTCAAAGCGTAGACGACGTCCATGGCGGTGACGGTCTTACGTTTGGCGTGTTCGGTGTAGGTGACGGCGTCACGGATCACGTTCTCGAGGAACACCTTGAGGACGCCTCTGGTTTCTTCGTAGATCAACCCGGAGATACGTTTCACACCGCCGCGACGGGCCAATCTTCTGATGGCCGGTTTCGTTATGCCCTGGATGTTGTCGCGCAGGACTTTGCGATGACGTTTCGCGCCACCTTTTCCCAAGCCTTTGCCTCCTTTTCCTCTACCGGTCATCTTGGAATATCTTCGAAGAAGCTTGCGAGCGACGTGGATTCAGAACGGTGTTCGTAAGGGAACTGCGAAAATTACGAAATTCGGCGTCGTTTTATAACGTTCCCGAGCTACGCCCATTTCTGGTCCCGCTCGACCAATAGACACGCGCAGAGAGCGACTTTGTAGCGGTGAACGTTATATAAGGTTCGCCGCGAGCCCGTCGGACATTCTCGATCTACGCATCGACCCGGCAACATGTCGGACCGAACGCTCCGATCACGCCGTCCCAGCTCGTCTGCGACGAACACATCGACCAAGAAGAAGCCGAAAGAAAACCAGCCCAGGACCCAGGACACATCATCAAACGGTGAGTCAAATCCAGATTTATCAAATTCTCCCGCACGAAATTCACCAACCCCAACAGAGTCAACCATGACTCACACCTCCACTTCCGCTGCCTCCTCCGCCGCCCGCTCCGCCGCCTCCTCCTCCTCCGCCTCCGAGTCGTCTCAACTCCAGAAATTCAAATTCCATTTAAAAAACATCCCCCAAAACTTCGCCACTCAAAAGGCTTTCTATTCGCTTTTAGTTGTTCAGCTAAACGTGAAAAAGATCCAGACGTTAATCGTCAACCCAAACCGAACCGCTCTCCTAATCCTGAATGAGCAACCACCATCAAACCTGGCTCAACAACTCAAAACCGCAGTAAATGCGAACAACATCGAGCTAATTCCGCTCAACCAACCTCGAATGCCCCGCCCCCCCTCCGAAAGAAAACCCACAGTCTTCTCCATAGTAATCCGCTCCGTTGACCTCGGAACCAACGAAAACGACGTCAGCTCCGAGCTCCAGAGGCTCAACCTGAACTTCCGCCAAATCTGGCGCATCAAATCCATGAAAACAAATAAGTTCACAACTCTTATCAGAGTCACCTCCTCTGATACAATCACAATCGACACCCTCCTCAGCCAGGGAATAACCCTCTTCGGCCGCCACCACGAGTGCGAACGCTCGCACACCTCCGCTCCAACCCCAGTCCAATGCTCTCGCTGTTTTCAGCGAGGGCACGAAAACACCAGCTGCCCCAACCGTCCAATCTGCCCCACATGCCCCAACACCCACGCCCCCGGCAAATGCCCTTCCACCGACCCCCAATGCCCATTCTGCAAGGGTAACCACCCAGCGTGGTCCCTGAAGTGCCCCAATTATAAGGACTTCGCCATCTCCGAAGACACCCCCATCGTGCCCATGCACATCATCGATCCCCCGGCAAATTTCGCCGACCCCACCGAATCTCCAGAAGAAGTCTCCTCCGCTGATCCAAGCATAACCCACCCCAGGCAATTGGTAGCCTACCTAACTCTCGTCCTGATGGACCTATTCCCACTCCAACGCCAACAAATCCAAAAAACCATCGAAAAGACATCCTCGTCATTCCTGAATCTGCGAACCACCATTAACCCATCTGGCAACAGGCTTCACTTCACATTCAATGAATAGCTTCGACCAAACAAACGTTCCGCGGCGCGCTGACGACCCCAGTCAGCGCGCCGCCACAACCCCTCCCCCCCACCTAATGCCCAGTGCCATGCAGGACCCCCCTAATCATCCCCACATCAACATTTCCGCCCTAAACATCGACGGTATAAATCGAAAATATCATGCCCTAAAAAATTTCATCGAAACCGACAAAATTCAAATCCTAGCCCTGTCGGAAACCAAAACATCCCGCCAAATAAAAATAAACAATTTCACCACCTATTATCGCCCCTCCACCATGCAGAATGCTCGAGGTACAGCACTACTAATCTTATCCAAAATTCCTTCCACCCCACATATTCTACCGGATAATCTCGCAAACCTCGAAGCCACAGCCGCAAACGTATTAATCAACAACTTGTCAATAACCATCATCTCCTACTACAATCCCCCGTCTGAAAACCTGTCAATTCCGCTGCTCCAATACTTCTCCAATCTTCCAAACGCCATCCTTCTCGGTGACTTCAATGCAAGACACAAAGACTTCGGCGACCACTATTCCAATAGGAACGGCATCACACTGACCAACAATCTCCTCAATCTCCCCATCTACCGCACAATTAATCGCCAGCCCACTTTCATAAACCACCGTGGCTCTTCTATTATCGACCACATTCTCATCACCGAATCTCTAATTCCCCTAATCAACCCCACCTGCACCATCGGCACAACGGCTACCTCACCCCACCAACCACTAATAACACAAATCCTCCAACCTGCTCCCCCTCCACCCCCGACCTATGTACCTATTTTCGACTATAAACACGCCGATTGGCAAAAATTCAAAAACTTCATCACACAAAATCTCCCACAATTTAATCCAACCCGCGATCCGGAAATAATCGACCACCAAGTCTCACTTCTAACCGACACAATTTCGACAGCAAAACACACGTCAATACAAATAAAACACATCACCAAACACAAACGCCCGCTCCCTCAGAGAATCCTAAAACTAATAAAACTCAAACGCAAACTCTTTCGAACATTTGTCAGAACCCGAGACCCATTCATTAAAACACACTTCAACCGCCTTAACGCCCAAATCAGACGCGACATTAACCAGTACCGCGAGGAACAATGGTCTAATGCGTGCGCGAAATTAGACTACAGAGACGGAAAACAGTACTGGAACACGTTCAAAGCAATAACCGGACAAAAAACACAAAAAACACACTATCTTAAACACAACGGTACATTCCTAACCTCCCCCCAAGACCAAGCCAACCTATTCGCGGAAACACTTCAGTCAATCCACACAACCCCACAAAACCCCAACTTCAACCAAAAATTCTTCCAAAAAATCTCCCAAGAAGTACACAATTTCCGCGAAAACCCACCTAACTTACCCGTACTACCCGACGACGACCTCAGCAATGAAACCTCCCCCGACGAAGTCCTGTCGCACATCAAGCGACTAAAAAATTCCAAAGCCCCCGGCCCCGACGAAATAAAACCCATCCTCCTGAAAAACCTTCCCGAACCCGCAATCCAAGCTCTCACAACCATTATCAACAACTGCCTCGCATCCTCATACTTCCCAAAAGCATGGAAATCAGCCTCCACTATCATGATACCAAAACCCGGCAAGGACCCACATGATCCACTATCATATCGCCCAATTTCCCTTCTCAATGTCATGGGCAAAATTTTCGAAAAAATCCTTGCGTCCCGACTAGCTCCACTTCTCGAGTCCCACAGACTCCTCCCCGACCAGCAGTTTGGGTTCAGATCCCAACGCTCCACAATAAATCCCCTAATGGAACTTCACACTGACTCCACCAGACACTCGAATCTCAAAGAGTGCACAGCCGCAGTCTTCCTAGACATTGAACGTGCCTTTGACAAGGTCTGGCACGACGGCTTAATCCACAAGCTGATATCCCTCCAACTAAACCCCGCCTTCATCCAACTAATCGACTCATTCCTATCCAACAGATCCTGCAAAGTAAAAATCCTCAACACCACTTCCACGCAAGTTAACATAGAAGCCGGAGTTCCCCAAGGCTCCGTGCTCTCACCCATCATGTACTTGATTTACTGCAGCGATTTTCCCTTTTCAGACACCACAAGGACCAAGAGCAGGATGTTCGCGGACGACACCGCCTTCTGGACCTCACACCGCTCCCCCATCCATGCCAGCGCCACCATCCAAGGACTCCTACACCGCTTCGAGAAATGGGCCAATAACTGGAGAATTTCCCCCAACCCCAAAAAATCCCAATCTATCCTAATCTCCTACCCGCGTGCAAACACCAAACAACTTGACTTCTCTCTAACCAAACTAACCCTCCATAACCAACCTATCCCCAAATCCAAATCTATCAAATATCTCGGTATTACCTTTTCCCGCACATGCTCCCTCCTCGCAGACCTAGAACTAACTCTCAAAAAAGTCCGGAACCGCGCCAATCTCCTCTCCCTTATCCGCGGACGCATCCGCGGCTGCAACCCAAAAACCCTCCTGTTTACCTACAAATCCTTCATCCGCCCTATCATAGAATACCGAGCCCCTCTATACGCTTCTCTGTCACAACGCTCTCTCAACAAAATCTCCGCATGCGAACGCAAAATCCTCCGCAGAATCCTCAAACTAGACCCCAAATACCCATCCATGCATGTTCACTCCCTGGCAAAAACTCCCCCTATCACTTCCAGACTAACCGAACTCCAACAAAAATACATTAACCGCACACTTAACTCCACTAACCCAATAGCTATCCAAACTCTTCACACCTCCCACAAATACCCAACTGTCGACAACCGCCTTCTGAACCGCATCCCCAAAAAACCCAAAACCAAATTTAAACACCCCCCAACAGCCCTATTAACCAGCCTCTACCCCAACATACCCGAAGCCCTCCAGTCCATTGTAGAAGAAACCCCTCTTCCCCTTCGATAAACCCCACACCTTACCCTTAACCTCCCCCACACCTCCACTTTGTAAATTTGTATATAGCTCTAGAATAAGTCAAATACGTTTTATACTTTTGTAATTATCCTTAGTTCTAGAAAATGACATGTAATATCTTAAGAAATCTATGTAAACCTTGTGCTGAAAAGGCCCTAAGCCTCAGCTGCACCCCATACAACCTCTGTTAGTTTTAAGTACCAAATTGTAAAAAACCCTATAATTTAATAAAATGTATTTGAACTTGAACTTGAACTTGAACCGCCGGTCCGATACATAACCGAATAACGCAGCAGTCGATTACGTGTGTCGTCGCCGCTCGTCGCTCGCTCTTCTTGTTTATATTTCGTTTTTCGCAAGAAAATTAAAGAAAATGTCAGGACGTGGAAAGGGAGGAAAAGTCAAGGGAAAGGCGAAGTCCCGTTCGAGCCGTGCCGGTCTTCAGTTCCCCGTCGGCAGGATCCATCGTCTCCTCCGTAAAGGAAACTACGCCGAACGCGTCGGTGCCGGAGCTCCCGTCTACCTCGCCGCCGTCATGGAATATCTGGCCGCCGAAGTTCTCGAGTTGGCAGGAAACGCCGCCAGAGACAACAAGAAGACCAGGATCATTCCCAGACATTTGCAGTTGGCGATCAGGAACGACGAAGAGTTGAACAAGCTCCTTTCCGGAGTGACGATCGCCCAAGGCGGCGTTCTGCCCAACATCCAGGCGGTCCTCTTGCCCAAGAAGACCGAAAAGAAGCCTTAAACTCTTTTCATTTTTTTTAAAGAAACGGACCGGACGGACGACCGCTTTACCGAGAAAAAAAAAGAAAAACAACAACCCACATCATCGGCCCTTCTCAGGGCCACTAATTTTTTTCAAACGATTAAATGCTCGCAAACTTATCTTAATGGAAAACAAACAAAAAAAAATAATAGAAAGAAAGAAAAGTACTTTATATGACACGATATCGTTTTTCGATTCGAAAACGTTAATTTTTTTCTTATTGTTCGTTCATTTTTAAGCTTTCTCTCTGTCACTTCTCGTGAATTTTACTGCAAACGTTTAAAAATACGTGATTTTAATTTAATTTTTTTCCTTTTTCCATTTTATATCGTCATTATTATTTCTTTAAAAAAAACCAACACAACCAACCATTCATTCATTCATTCATTCATTCATTCATTATTTATTCTCGACATATAGTAAGCGAAATTTTTTATTCGTTAGAAAAATTTTGTGGTTCTGAAAAGAACCGTTTTTTTTTTTTCTCCGATCTCGTTTGTTGTCGTGGCGTATATACGGAAAAGTCAAAGAATCAAAATCAGCGACGATTAAATTTCTTGCTATTGCAAAAAATTAACCGCCGAAACCGTAGAGGGTGCGTCCTTGACGTTTCAAAGCGTAGACGACGTCCATGGCGGTGACGGTCTTACGTTTGGCGTGTTCGGTGTAGGTGACGGCGTCACGGATCACGTTCTCGAGGAACACCTTGAGGACGCCTCTGGTTTCTTCGTAGATCAACCCGGAGATACGTTTCACACCGCCGCGACGGGCCAATCTTCTGATGGCCGGTTTCGTTATGCCCTGGATGTTGTCGCGCAGGACTTTGCGATGACGTTTCGCGCCACCTTTTCCCAAGCCTTTGCCTCCTTTTCCTCTACCGGTCATCTTGGAATATCTTCGAAGAAGCTTGCGAGCGACGTGGATTCAGAACGGTGTTCGTAAGGGAACTGCGAAAATTACGAAATTCGGCGTCGTTTTATAACGTTCCCGAGCTACGCCCATTTCTGGTCCCGCTCGACCAATAGACACGCGCAGAGAGCGACTTTGTAGCGGTGAACGTTATATAAGGTTCGCCGCGAGCCCGTCGGCCATTCTCGATCTGCGCATCGACCTGGCAGTATGTCTGTCAGCACGCGGTCCAAGTCACGTCGTCGCACCGTCACGATTCGTGCAACGTCGCCCCAGAG